CAGCATATAAAAGAAAGGGGCCTTCTGAACCTCTCAGAACTGTGGCATCAACCTTCAACCTTTTGTAGTACATTTAACAGTGCTTACAATGATACCTTTTATTTTGTACATTCATTTCAAAAGAATACTTTTAAACAATTAAAAGGTGGATGCAAAATACATGTTTTTCCCTTCCCTTGGAATAATTTATCTTTTAATAACATTTTCCAATAAACAAACTGCTACCCATAATGTGCAGCACTTGTATTATTAATGTAATACTTACGCATGGTGTCCATTCATTACTGAGTGATCATCAGCTGTCCATCCTTTATCGTCCTTTAATGATATATCCGCATTGTACCGTAACAATAATCGAACCATACTAATTTGTCCATTACTTGCAGCAATCATCAAAGATGTCCTAAGGAAGAAAAAAGTTTGTTTACTACCTTATGAGACTTATGTTTAATGTGTTTTCTATGTTTCTTTCTATGTCTTTTGTGCTCACTTTTTCATTATTACTGCTGTGTCATTTATGATATGCTATGAGGCAAAATACAATTTTGGCAATAAAATTAAAATGATCAAAGAAGATAGACCTGTTTTAAAATAAAATTTGGTTTGATAAAAAAGTCATTTACTGGTTTGCAATTAAATACAGAATCAATTTAAAAAGTTATATGGAAAATGTGGGTCTGGGCTCCAATCATAGCACTGAAGAGGTAAACAGATTTCTGGTCTTCCTCACACCCAACCTCTCAGATATTTAATGGAACCCAATATTTGCTTGGAAGCAAGTATTACATACCGTTTTGAATTATTATCGGCATCTACATCGGCCCCTTCCTTTAAGAGAAATTCTACCATCTCGGGATGGTTTTCTGTAACAGCCAGAATCAGGGGGGTACATCCTTCCTAAAAAGAAAACATCTTTTTATCATGCAATGAAAGTGAATAGGGAATGCTCATTGATATGTCTTTAATGTCTTTATATCAATCCATTTTCTGGCTGCTTTTCCTGGTGAACTTGCTTTATGGTTTATTATTTTTTGTTAATTTGATTTAACATAACACATTCTCATACACACCAATGGGACAAAAGCCAAACCTTGTTTTCAGCATTTATGTTTGCTTTATGCTCCAGTAACTGGGCAGCCATGGAAATGGAAGGGATGAGGGCAGAAAGGTGCAATGCAGTGTTTCCATTGATATCCACAAGGTTTGGGTCCGCATCGTTTTCCAACAGGGTAACTGCACACTGCTCCTGTTGGCATTGCACAGCCTGCAAAATCAAACAGAAACAGACGAAACAATACACAAGGTCAACACATGCAAGGTAGAAATCTTCATAAACAATATGTTCAAATATATCCGAGCAACATATCAATCCATTTATTTTCTAGCGACATCCAATTCAGGGTCATGGGGAAGCCTATCCCAGCAAGCACCAGGTGCAAGGTGGAGTACACCCTAGACAGGACGCAAGTCCATCACAGAGCACACACAGACATGTGCGCGCTCACACCACAGCCATTTTTTCCAAAAGCCAATTAACCAATTAACCAGACCACCTGGAGGAAACCTACAGCATGTGAACATGGGGAGAACATACTAACGCCTCACAGACAGCACCCCAGGTTTGGAAATAAACCCAGGACCTCAGCACTGCAAGGCAACAATGCTGCACCACTGTGCCGTTCCTGAGCAGAATATATGTAGCAAAATGTTACTTCCCTATAGTCAAGTACGTGATGTAATAAGTATATCATTTCAACAGCAAGGAAACCGACTTTTTTTACAGTACATACATGAAAAGTGATGTGAGTATATGTAAATTACTCATTTTAATGTTATGACTCATTTTAATGTTAAAATTGGAATGTAGTGCACGAAAGGTAGAATTAGGTTCTTCGGACATTCTGTCTGCATATAACTGCCCAGTAACATTAGAATGGATAATAGCACTTTAATTTACATAGTCCCCAAATGTATAATTTTATTATTAGATACCATAACCCTGAACAATGACATTTATTATATTTTTATATATAGTAAGTTTAGTGTTCATTTTCTAACACTTTTCTAAGGCGATACAGGAAATCAAGCAAAGCCAAAGGTTTCTTTTTTTCATCCTTTACTAATACAGATTGGAAATGCTTCTGAAATCATGTTGATGATACAGTGTCATTAATGTGGCATGTCACCAAGGAACTCTTGAACTGGGACATTTTTCATGATGTTACTCTGTCAGCTTTTACTGTACTTTTGGTCAAATTCAGCTAAGAAACAAATTGAGTGGATAATATGGTCACCATCCACCAAGTTTAATTTCCAGAACTAGTTTTATACAACGTACCTTCATGAGAGGGGATCGGTTCTGATTGTCACAGAGATTTAATTTTGCTTTGCCTTCTGCCAGGAAACGAACAATATCAGCATGTCCATATGCACAGGCAAGATGTAAGGGTGTTCTGAAAAAGAAGAGAGAAAACAAGGTTAAGAAAATATAACTTCATGTTTATCCTATTTCTGTTTTAGAGTAAGATGTCAGTAACATTTAAAATTACTGTAAATTGTGTACATACTGTATACTAAATGTGCAAAACCTTTAAGCCTCTATACGAAGCTATTATACAGAATATAGTTCTGTTGTTGTTCCTGTGTTGCGTGGATGTTTTATGTTTAGTTCAAGCGGTGAAGTACTTTCTTTTGGTGAGAAACTGCTCCTCATCTATTTGTGTGGTTGGCCCACCAGCAAATAATGGCTGCTGCATGCCACTCAGGTGAGTCCTGTCTTATATGTAAAATATATCCTTTTAGGAATTAAATAAAACTACACACATGAAGAACTGTCTCTGTTTTTTACAGATGTAACTAAGTGTCAGTGTATTAATATGTATTGTAACTGTTGTAGCATCAAACTAAGAACATAAGGCAAAGCTACAAAAATAATCCATCGTTGTAGATGACATAACCCACAAATTAGGTGCAGCAGAACAGTTCAACAGTGATGAAACTAACTATACCAGACCAAATCCTGCAATTACTTTGGAAAGGCGAGTATGGTAAATAACCATTATAAAAACAGCTCAGATCCTGGACTCCTGCAGGGTTTGTACCCTGCGTGACCAGGAAGGAACAGCAGCGGGAGTTCTTTTAAATGACGACTTTAAAACAGAATCTCAGATTCGAAAAGGCGACTACTCTTTTTCCTTTGTGAACAAGCATCCAAATAATATCGTTTGATGCTGTTCATCAGTCTGATTTAGTGTTTTTAATTACCTACATACATTTTGCTGTTAAACCAAGAAAGCCACTTTAATAACTTCAGAAATATAGAACCTCAAAATTCCCATTTAGCAGATTGGGTCTATTAACTCCAAAGTCTATTAAAGTGAAATCATTTAAACGGAGGATTGACTGTAATCTGGTCATTTGCAGCTGTTATACATATAAAAATGATTTATAAATCACCTCTGTAAACCCATGAACGCTGTACATAGTGATAAAAAATATACAATAAAAAGCTAAAAATAAAATACAGTCACCGAAAGTCTGAGATTCAGTCCTAGGTTCAGTGAGCAAAGGACCAGTCTCAACTGAACAGAGCCAATGGGAGGCAGTGTAAACATGCAGGAGTTCAGAGAATGATGGAACAGATTACTTAGAGGCTTAAAAGTCAGTAACAAGATGTTTTATTGAATATATGACTTTATAGGCAACCAAAGTAGAGATCTGAATGTAGGAGAGATATGTTGCCAGGGTCTGGTGTGAGTCAGAAGTGTAGCTGTGGAGTTCTGGATACATTGTAACATACTAAGAAAAGTGTTAGGGAGCACACAGGGCAAAGAGTTGCAGAAATCAAACCCTGATGTCATAAATGCATTAATCAAGCACTTAGCATCCAACATTCATAAAAATTGCCTAATGCTCGCTATATTTTTAGGTGAAAAAAGAGATCTTCATACATTTTGTGAAGTGTGGCTCAAAAAATAGAAGGTGTGACTCCAAGATTCCTGACTATGACTGGTGTCGGAATGAGGAAGCCATCAACGTTTATTGTGAAGCTTTCCAGTTTTTTGCTACGCACTAGTAAAATGTAGATTTTGTAACTATTTAGCATTAAGAATTTGATGTCAACTAGAGCTTGATGTCACACAGACAAGAGTAACATGACAAAGGCTGGAGATCAGAGGGGCAGATGTTTTAATGTAAATCTGAGTATCATCTGCGTAACAACGAAACAGAAGACCATGTTTGCATATAATCTGATCAAGAGAACTCATATAAATTATAAAAAGCAATGGGCCCAAGACCGAACCCTGTGGCACACCATGATTGACTGGGGCCATAGAAGATTTATGAGGACCAAGAAAACAAAATGCTGTCTGCCAGTCAGATATGAGTAGGACCAGTTAAAAACAGTACCGTTGGATAGACATCATATCAATAAAGAATAAATGCACACCTTGATATTAATGGCAGCAAAAACAGTTAAGAACCCAAGTTAGATATTTTAAAACAGACATGGGAATATGAGGTGCACTAAAATGTCAACAATTTTAATAAAAATTAAATAGTTATAATGCAGAAAATGTAAATTCACCAGGCCTTCAAAAAACTGCTGTTAGAAAAGACTATAGTTTTATACCTGAATTTATCAACATTAATCAACACACCTGACTGAGAAAATGATCATATGTGACAAACTGAAGCATTCTAATTATTAGAATGTATGGCATAGTAATCAGCTGAATAAATTCTCTCAGCTATTTAGGGTTTTTTTTTCTTTCCCTCCCTTATTCCCACTGCATTCTTCAGAACTTCAGCAACAATGAAGACTGTGTGCTAAAATGTTAACAGTGAGGTTGCAATCAAAATCAGCCATGAACTGAAAAGGTAAGACATAAGATACAACATGGACTCTAGCCATTTTTTCTATTACAGTAAAGTTAATAACAGTTTAATGACAAAACAAAGGAAAGTCTTCAAAAGGAAATAATATTGGTGCAATCCTGTCCTAACGCTTTGCTGTAGCAGGTAATAGCTGCTAGCATAGGATGCTTCCCAAGCTGGAGAAGTTAACACAAACCATGGAAAGCAGGGTACCGAAGCTGGCTAGCAAAGCTCAGAAACACTGCATTGCCTAAGAGAACTACACTTCCCAGAACCCCACTCAGTGACTTCCTGGGGTGTGTCTACATTGCAAGTCACTAAGATGCCTGCAAGTTGTGACATTCTGTAGGTCCCACCAGGCACTGGTAGTTTCACTGGCGGTGGTCTGTGTAACTGGCGCACGCTGACAATCAACTCAAGTGGGATCCCTTATTTACAGGTTTATTTTTTTAAAAATGAGAAAATAAAATGGAAGGGTTTCCAGACGTTTTGTCAGGATGGCACAGGATACAAGTACTATAGTACAGCTGATAACAGGGAACTAACTACCAGTCCACACAAGGATGCTACTCCCATCTCCTGTCCAACAACTGTGACACCTAGTTACATAGGGTAATCCAACTCTGGACATTGTCCAGTGGGTTTTATAGGAATCCTTAAAACTCCAGCTTCTTTAGGAATAAGGTAAGTCTGCAACTTGGCTAATTAGGTAAATTCAATGAGGCGATTCAGGCCTAAAATAGAAAGCAAATGACCAAAAACCTTCTGGTTCTCTAGGACTGGATCTGTACACCAGCTACAGAGCAATTTCTAAAGATGTACAAAGTGGAACCTGTAGCATACTCAAAACTGCATGGGATCCGCGTAGGTTTTTACATTTATTAGAAAAATATTTAAGTACCAATTGGCCCATTAACGTTCATTTGAATTCACATGAATGTTCTAAAACCTTCTTCACATGTATCTTTGAAGAACATTAGTTTTCCATTAGAATAAATTTATCTACAAATGTTCCAGAGGATGCTGATGCAAATTGCAAGTAAAATAAGTGGAGGATGACATTTGATGTTTAGTGGTTATCCTTTTAAAGATCGTATCGGATCACTTATTATGTTTAGAAATATTTGCTGTAGCTGAGTTGCTATGGCAAGTACACTATACTGTATATCAAATTAATGCTCAGCCTAAAACTAGAAATAGGAATAGTTCTGGCATATTTGCAAAACAAATGTGACCCAAGTTAAAAATGTTATTAAATGCATATTTTAAATAACAAAATGTCTTTATGTAGCGTTACAATTGAAAAAATTAATCAATTCATTTTTTTAAATAATAAACAAAATGTGATATTACAAAGATTAAATGTGAAATATTTGCCACTCCAATTAAATGTAATTTTGAAATAGCAAGCAGGCCTTTGCCCTGTAATCCACACTGCAACAGAAATAATAAACTACCATTTTACAGTGCTATCAAAAACTCTGCAGCTTACCTCCACCAATTAAAAACAGACCAAAAGACAGACAACAGTTAATAGCATTTACAAGTGTCTAACAATTACACCAGAAAGAACATGAACTAAAAGCTGCACAGGAACAAGAGAGGTAGGACTTAAGACCTTGGGCTCATCTAGCTTGTTCGGATGATTGCAACCATTGTAAATCATGTGCAGGTTAGTGTACATCCCATTTTATAGACATTTCTGGAGACAGGAATTAATTTGACATATTCCCCTAAATGTGAAAGAAAACTGGATTTATAAATCAACAGAAATACAGGATAACAGGTCTTGATACGGGACAACACAATACCTAACACATATTGAATTTGTTAGCAATGTTTCATTACACGATACAAACAAACTGTTTCAGAGTGCTGTTTTCTCAGGAAAGCTGTCTAGAGAGAAAATTAAACTTACCTGTTTTCTTTATCCAGCTGATTGAAATCATGTTTCTTTACAAGTTGTTTGAGCTTGGTCAGATCCCCTGTAGAAGCAGCCTTGTGTAGCTTTCCTAGATCTTTTTCCTTTAGCTCATATCCAGCAGACAGCACACTCCCCGTGTCAGACGAATTGGGAGAAAACCCCTTTTTCTTCTTCGCAAAGCTAAATATCTTCTTCATCGTGAACTGTTTCGAGTCGGACAAGGGATGCACGACTTCATCGCCCTGCAGTGTCCAGGCGTTGTTCACTCAGGTGCAAAAGAAGATTCACCTTGGGCGTCTTTTCCATTCCAAAAATAAACCAGTAAATCGGATAAGGATAATGATGTCAAACTCATGAGTCTAGCAGAATGAGAAATAACACGGCGATTTATTTATTCTATTTTATTTTAATAAAATACATACAGTAAATATGCCCTGAGCAATTAGGATGTCTGATTATGATAGCATGTTTGCGATCACTGTGTCCTGTATCCCTAAGACCACATACTGTACATAAATACAATTTCAGGGCATAACATGCAAGGATAATAATTTTCCTTACCTTATCAAATCGGGGTTTCGGTGAAAAATGGTCGACAGTGTAAAAAAGACAGCAATTGCCTCATTTGGAGTTTAGTCGTTATCAGTAGTTAATTTACACCATACTCCCATAGCTGCACAATTCGTGTACCACCAACAGCAGCAGCAAGGGCAGGAGCTCAATTTACAGAGTCTGTAACCAAGGCAACCACGCCGTGCATCTAAAAACAGAACAGGATGGGGGGTTTAACAGCCTGGCATTACAAAAACAACGAAACGGGTTTTCTCGGTTCGTATAACCGACCGCCACAATATCATACGAACATATCATTGATCAAACTAGACTGGGAATCGGCTACGACAGGTCTTGTCTCCACTGGCAGTGTTGGTGCTCCGAGTCTGAATAATTCATCGTCATCTACAACCGCGACATTTGAATTTGTATCCAAGGTGTCAGGTGAGATTCAGCGTCTAAAGAAGTCACGACGTTATACGAGTGTAACCTGACTTGGTGAAAAAACAGCAAATTATACTCGTCTGTACGAGGTAAGATCACCATTCTTCCACTACTGTACGTAAATTTCTTCTTTCGGATTCACAGACAACGAATTGCAAAAACGTGGCAGAAGTCTCAATTTTGAGCGGAATATGCCAAGGTATGACACCAAATACAAACACTGAAAATCAGTACTTTCCAATCGGGTCATTCTATCATTGCAAAGATCTTGAAAGTTTCCCATTTTCAAAATGTCAACCATAGTCTTTGCAAAAATGAATACAAATATAGTTGTTGCGTAACTATTTAACCACACAGCAAACTTAAAAACAACATGGAGAATTAAAAATAGGATCTTTTTTATTAGAAAAATCTAGATTTATATACCTTGCCGTTAACTCTGATCATTCGTGTGAATATAAAAAAAAATCATTCTCATAGCGTCAAAAATACATGCTCTTCATATGTCTTTTGAAAAAAAAAAAGCAATATATAACAAACCTAATCAATACAAATCTTTCCCAAATCCATTACTTCACTTTTCTCATAGTGACCAACTGGCATTGCACGTTGCGTGGGGACATAGTAACATAACTGTGTGACCGGCGGTGATCGCATCCAATCCAGTGCGTGGGATCGGTGAGCACTTGCCCGTTATCCAATAGTTCACAGGCTATAGTCCTGTGGCATAGAGAAGACCCGCCCACTACGTGCAAGTGTGGTTGAAACAGCATCCCTACTAAGGGTTCAGTCTTCTCTGAGCAACTGGTAGTTTGCAATGCTTGGGTTTGGGAGACGGAGCAGATCATATTACACTTTCATTAATAATAAAAATAAAAACAACAAGTAGAAGAAATCTAAAAAATAACTGCATTCTGTCACCCCCCACCAAAGTGTGACCCTTTTCACTTAAACGCCCAATCGGTCTTTTAGCTCGTAGCATACATATTTCAAAATCCTTTGTTTTTAGAGAATGTCGGTGAGCACTGCCAGATCTCCAAGTCCAGCTACGTTACCCTTTTAAGATGGGTACCGTAGATGTATCGTCTTAGTTGCTGGGGCACACTGTTGACCTTCGATCAAATTCAGTTTAGTTTTTTTATTACATTTTCAATATAATGACGCAGTAATATAATGCAAAATCTTGAAAATGTATAAAACAACTGTGTGCAGTAATGGTGAAACTGTACTATACTCTCCCATCTGAGCTGTTTGAACTCAGACCCTTTTATTCCCACCACTGCAGTGTGTGTGTATGGGGGGAGGGGTTATGAGTGACACAGCAAACCCAGTATTTCAATATTTTAACGAATATTGCATTTGGCAATTAATCCAAAGTTTTTTTCCGTAATGTCTTAGTTCACACATACTGTAAATTCGCTTACGTCAGCGCTCTAACATTGGGCAATGCTGACAAAACTCACCCACAAGATGATTTTAGTCATTTAAAATGGTTCTAACACTTTGTAAAATAAGCCTAGGTCTATATTTAATACACGAATTAGAGGTCCTTCTTAATACTTTTTCCGTTAGCAAAGCTCTCTCCAACGCCAGAGAAAGGACAATGGAAACATCTCCATGACTGGATTTTGTCTAGTGTTCCAGGTATCGATGGTCGTTAGCGTCGCTGAGTGTGATGACGTAATTATCCCGTGACTTGTCAGGAAAAAGGAAGTACGGCGCGGTCAGCTGATCAGGCGTCGTTAACTTGAGATTTTTCAGGTGTTTCGTTTATCCTGAAGAGAGTATAACCGAAGAAAGTATTGTCAGACTCCTCTGTGAAATAGTCAGGCATACGTTTTTTGTCCAGCATGGCAGGACGAGGCAAGCTGATCGCGGTGATCGGAGATGAAGACACCTGCACCGGATTCCTGCTCGGAGGCGTTGGAGAGCTGAATAAGAACCGTAAACCCAATTTTCTGGTGGTCGAAAAGGACACAAGCATCACCGAGATCGAAGAGACCTTCAAGTGAGTTTGAGCTGGCCTGATTTAACAATGCCGACGAGACATATATATTTAGAGAATATATAATTCAAAATATTGTGTTGCAATAAGTGTGGTTAATAATTTAAAACACTGGCCATGACTGTAAGATCAGCATGGGGGAAATGATTATTTTCTTGGTTTTGATGATAGCCTTCTTTCTTCCATATCGCTAAAGACATGCTCGAAAATCCAGTTGCACAAGGTCAAATTTAAAATAGAAATGACATCTCTGTTAGTTAGTAGAAGACTTAAAAGTAAGTCTGCTTGAAAAGAGTACATCTGCAGAGCAATAACGGTATCGTTAATGTTATGTTCCAAGTTAAATACCTGAGACCTGCAAGTGTCAAGCATTACGGTCTAAATACATTTTAAGTTGAGCTTAAACTTTTGCAGAGCGTTATGTTTGCAGTATAAAAATGCAAGTGAACCGTTTTTATTCTAATACATCTGGAATAATGACACATCCTCAGTTCCTCCTTTTTTCCTTATTTAAAAACGCAGCGGGCACGCAAGCCTTCACGTGCTTCTGTGTCAGATCGCCACTGCTGTGTGTGAGGTAGTAGGCTGGAGGTTGATGGCATGTTGTTTCTGTGATAATTTGTATGCAATTTGCATGTGTTCCTCATGATTAATCATTGCAGTCATATATTCTGCATACAGAGTGAGGCACAGAATGTGCTCGTGTTTTTCAAGATTGTATCCCCCTGAGTAACCCCTCTTTTTTTCATCTTTTTCTAGGAGTTTCTTGGCTCGAGATGACATTGGGATCATTCTGATCAACCAGTTCATTGCAGAAATGATCCGGCACGCTATTGATGCTCACATGCAGTCCATCCCAGCTGTGCTTGAGATCCCATCTAAGGAACATCCCTATGATGCTTCCAAGGACTCCATTTTGCGCAGGGCCAAAGGCATGTTCAGCGCAGAGGACTTCCGGTAAACCTCCCCGAAGAGGCAGAGGATGTCCTGAAGCAGATTATAGCTTGGAAGAAGAAAGTTCACAAAACCTTCTCTGCCATTCTTATTTTATTTGTGTGTCATTTTCAGAATTCCATTCCATGCAGGCGAATAGTGGGGAAAAGGGGAAGAGGGATGAGACATTTCCATACAAATCTGTTCTATCTTAATTTGAAGGATGAAAATATTTGGTCCTGTATAAAACAGTCGTTGGTCGTGCAAGTTTTATTTATTTTGGCTATTTCTTTATGTCATATGATGTGTGTAATTGTAGGAGATAGCTGGTACATTTCGTCTGGTAAAAGTCAAGTTTTGTTTTAGGCAATTGTATCTTTTTAAAATTGTGATTTTGAATTTAAGTGTCAACATCGGTGGGGGGGGGAAGAAAACTGCTGCTTTTAGTGGTATGTGAGGTTTCGGTTGTGTAGGTTTGTGACTGATACAGTACATGATTCATTCGGGTAAGAAGATCTGCTACACATTCATCCTCTCCCATTGTATCCTGAGTCATTCCTCCCAACCCCCTGTCCAGTGTTCGTAGTTAGGTCTGCCTCCGTGTTCCCAGCTTGTCAGAGACATCAGCTAGGTGACTACAAACAAGTTTGCTTGTTTTAACCACAAACAGCATTCAGCAGTGTTACTGGTGTGTAACAGATAATGTACACACCAGTAACACTGGTAAAGGACTCTGAACCTGTTCATTCCTGACAGAAGTGGATTGTGTGCTATAATATACAAAGAGGCACTGCTTTGAATACTGCCACTGGGTGTGTGTGGCGGTGGAGGGGAACATGTTTATGGTGAAAGTTATGAATTTGGACTTTTCTGCCATTGTTGAATCTGCTTCTATTGGCCATTACAAAAGGGTCTGCATATAACCAATATTATAGAAGAACTATAGTAATAATTTATTAATTTAAATGGATGTTAAGACTGCATTTTGTCCTTACTGGATATGTAATGTTTGTGAACTTGTTACCCACAATGTATAGAAATGTAACATCTCATTATAAATGTTTAAAAAGCTGGTTGTGTGAATTTTATTCTGTGTAGAATTTTAAATTGTTAAAGTATATTATAAGTATGAAAGTGTATTTATACTGACAATATTATGCATTTGAGTTATATTACAAATATAATTACAGTAGATTATTTTGTTTTCTTAGCACTTCAGTGTTGTTAATGAACAACATGATGTTTACAATTAATCCTTCTAAAGTTAAAACAATTTCAAGATCAATGCAGGCATAGTTTTCACATTGCTACATCAATATTTAGAATGACATTAAAAGATAACTATTTTACAAATTTCACAAAACTTTCAAAATATCTAGAGATTCCTATTAAACTGATACATACAGTACACTTAAAAAAAAAAGAATGTCAGACCCCCATCAATAGAAGTGAATTAATGACAACTGCATCATTTTGAATATGGACATATTAGACATTGATTTTTAAGATTATTTTAGTTCAAATACACTTTTTATACACTTTTGAGTATATGCTGTTGGGAATTAATACAAGGCAGAGTTTAATTGTATTTACATTCTTTCATAATTATTTCTTTACATATGTTTTCTTGAAACCTAGTTAAAGATTGATTTGGAAAGTTAATAATTTGTCTGTTTTCACTGGATTAGGCATACCTCACATTCACACATTAGTATTAACATTAGGGTTTTAAGGATGTTCATTTCTTTTCACCTCATTGGCTTTTGTGGGTTTGTGTGATTCCAAATATACCAATAAAAGAATACTTATTTACTAAATAGGATGGATTCAATTGAATTACTTAAATTAAGCTAATAGAGATCCAAGGTACTAGTTCAGAATAATGATTTCCACTGCAGAAGCAAAAAATGAGTCAAGATGAGGAGGCTGGGAGTTTTAGTTTATGATCTTGATCAAGAAGTAAAGCGGTAGTCTCAGTCATTTATGAATGTTAAAGGGAATTTAGGGAAGATGCTATTGTAAAAAGGCTAATGGTGAAATGTCAGTTCTTCAGTTATATATATTGTATTGTTCATTTTGTATCAAAATATATGATCCCATAGCAGTAACATTTTCCATACTTATCAATCTTTTCACTACAATCAACACAGCTTTCTTGTTCACAGTTATCTTAACTGCCCACAGCACGACAGGTACCCTTTGTTGCCACACATACTGCTCAATTACCTGCACATATATATCCTTTATCATGAATATGCCATTTAAAAAAAAAATCAGAGGACATTAATGCAGAAGTATCTAGCGATCATTTTTTTTAACTGTAGATACACATTAGCAGGACAGGAAAAAAACTTGTTAAACATTTCAGGGAACACATCACCGCTGTGATCCAGCTCTTTGTTTTGTATCTCACTGGCTTTTCTGGCTACATCCTTGTTTACTAGATATCAGAAGCCAAGATTATGCTTGATTTTCAGTCATCCTGCCCCCATTCTCTCGGCGATAAGACTAATTTTAGAAGTTGACCATTTATTTACAAATTTATTTAGCTTTTCACACCTCTGCCTCAGACCTCCCTTCATCTGGACACTCTTTCATACCTGCTCAACCCTTTTTTCTCTTCCTCACACCTGAAGAAGGCCGAACAGCCAAAACATTGTCTTACCTTTCTTTCTACTGTTCAGTGTGGAATTAACCTTTACTTGTCCTTACCTCATGCACTATGAAGTTTACAAATTACAGTTATGTCAATAGCTTGCACAGGATCAGGAAATTTATGCTGTGTAGGAAAGCACCAACAAAAGGTTTGTTTAAAAGTCCAAATTTTGTGATTAGATTATGGAAGTGAAAGGTGCCATAAGATAAAAGTATTTTTCTTGCATTTTTGGGTTGCTTTCCTTAGGGTAAAAATCCACAAAAATATTAAGTATGTAATTCCATTTTAAATATTCTGTTCTTTTCCATTTACTCAAAATCTTTCTCTGGCTGCCCATCTGTCTGGTTTTATAAAAGAATGTTCCTTAAAATTCACTCTGTGGTGTCAAATTCTGCATCACTTTCCAAATATTCAACAGCCATCTTGTCTCAAAGCCACAACAATGGGCCTGGGTTCTGAGCCAATGGCTTCCCCAAGGCACCACTCCTCTCTTCTCACCAATTTCATATGATTCACTAAGGGTGCCATCAGAGATCAATTATATCAACCATACATGATAAATAAAGCAGTACAGGGTCATGGTGCCTGTCCCAGCAAGGCATGCACTCACAACAGGGCTGATTTCCCCAGACCTAGATTAACCTACCAGTATACTTTTGGACTGTGGGAGGAACATGGGGAGAACAAACTCCACAGAAATAGCACCCCAGGTCCAGAATTGAACCCATGGCCCCAGCACTGCAAGGCAACAATACTAACCACTGTGCCACTGTCCCACCCTCAATTATAACAGTTTCATTAAAATTTGATTAATTTATCATATCAGGGTTTTTCTGGCAAAATGTGGGTAGTGTTCCTTGCTGAAGGACAATAGCAGCACTGTCCCCACAGGGGATTTCCAAAGTCCTAACCACTACTGCACTCTACTCATACTATTAAAACATACTGTTTGGTATAAAAACATTAGTACATGACAGAAGTGTCAAATGCTCTATACCTTTTTTTTTCTCAGTGAAGTGTCATTAAGAAACCAGTCACATTTATTCAACATCCAAATACAGCACACTTCAATGTCTGAAAAAAAACCCGTACTGTTGTTTAATTAAGAATGTAGAAAACATGTAGAAAAACATATGCCAAAGTTTTCCAATTTTATTGAATATAGGGTTTGACTACGTGTCTACCTTGGGGGGGAAAATATAACATATTTTATAACTGAGTTCATTGTTAATGTTCATTTGTTTATTTATTGATGTCCTCCCATTAAACAGTTAAGTACTGTTCTCTTGGTCCTGTCCCACAAACACTGACAACCTTGCTCGTTTAAACAAAGATTACAAAACTATAAAAAGCAGCACGAGTTAGGTCTAGCATTAGTGGACACTGAAATCATTTGAGATTGTTTTTGTTCTGTGTCTTCCTCATCTGTCATGCAGAATGAACCCTACACTTTATTTTGTTTTATTTTTACTCAGCTGTGCCTTGGTTTTACCACGACCACTAAATACTACAAGGGATGGTAGTCAAAGGTAAGTCACAATATATTCACTGCAGAACACAATTAATTCTGGAATAGATTAGCCTGCTACTTCATGTTAGAAATCATTACAGACAAAACAAGTTTACAGGTGGCCTAGTGAGCTCACTTTGAAGAGCAGAAGAAAAATGAAAACAAATACACATTGTTGTTTTCATTGAACACATTGCATGTTTCTGTAACAGAAACATGATACATCATGTTGCTGTTTGTAGAATATTAGGATTCATGCGACAAGTTGTTATGGCTATAAAGTATTGAATTGAATTAAATTAAATTAAATTAAATCTTACAAAATAGAAAATGGATTACACTGTATTTTTACCTGTATTTTGTAGTTTTTAATTGAGTCTAGATAATTTAAAATCATGCAGAAATACTGTGGCATTGGTGAAAACCATACTTAACATGAATAAAATTTATTTCAAAAGACTGCAATATTCATTATTATAGGCTCAACGAGCACCACCAGTGGAATTTGACCCAAGACACAAATATCACAAAGTGAGTATGCTTTTCTTCTACCTAAATACAAATAAAAGCACAATGATATGCATTCATTGTCTGACTGGTAATTTCTAAAAAATAGTTTTTGTTTTTCCATCAAAACAAAATATCTAGTTTCCTCCAAAAATTGGAATCCTTAAGTTATGACTCTGTATGTGCTTGCTGCATCCTGAACAAAATGTACATTAACCGAGGAGATATTTTGGCATGAACAAAAACAAAATATATTTTTTCAATTGGCATTAAAGACCTAATTACAGAGAAGTGGTGAGATAACATTTTGAATTAATGTAAGTAACGGAAGATGTGTGTAATGTATTAAGCAAAAAATATTTGCTGTTTGCACCAGTCAGATACACATCAGCTTCAAAATGTTCATAAAAATATGAAATTTTGTAATATATTTTGATTAGTAAACAAAATATTCTAATATTTTTCTACTTGAAAATTAAGCCATATATAGTCACTGTACATATACATATACAGTAGGTACACTTGTTTATTATATATATTAAAAATAATATGATTAACAAGTGCTAATAATTATACTATGACAAGCTGGTGGTAAAAAGTATTGTGTATTAGGAGAACAGACGACATACAGTAAATAAAATAAGTAGACGGATAAGTAAATATGTGCCACCTTTTGCCTTATGGGAGACGACAAGCAAAGACATTTTGTTTTAAAATATTTATCTTTCCAGGTCAAATGAGATGCACTTGCAGAATAAAACTCTGCACCAAAATACTACAGAGTAAGTACACTGTTCTTCTAATACAACTTGCATATCAAATTTGAAAATTTAAAATTTTTATTGTTACTGCAGGAAGGATGTGAAACTAATCCCTTCAAAAGCCTGCAAATGTTTAACTAAGATCAGCATCAAATGTCATCATCTTGCAACGAAAGTATGCAAAGTATAGAATTTACAGCTACTGTACCGTACTGCACAGCCAAGCTCAGCTTTGAAAACTTGGAGCAGGAGACTGGCTACAGTAGTTTATTCTCATAACCTTGGGTTTCCAAAAGAGCAAAGTAGTCAATACCTTACCACGAAGTTCCCAATCAGATCTGCTGTTCCGGCTCTGTCTGCTGTCTTCTGACAGAACACAGCACAGCCTTCACTGCCACTCATTTAGAGCAGCTTGCCAAGAGCAACGGATTTAGAAGAAATGAAAAATGTAAATACTTTATTAAAAATAATCTCTCATCAAACTATTTACATGCAAATATGTTTCAAATATGGAGACTAGAGAAAAGTGTACATACTGTAAGTATTAGTTCAAGTGGGTAGCTGTGTCAGCATGCGTAGGCTGCAAAGGATCAAGTAAACCTGAAGAAGACTTCACAGCTGAAACGTTGTGTCTCTTTT